AATAATTTAATTATTCAAAAAAGCCGCCTTTTCACTGTCGGTAAAGAAGAAACCTGCATTTAAACAATGTTCACTCTTTTATTGCTGTCCGTAGCCACCAAAGGCGCTAACGTCGACATTGTGCCATTTAAGTACAGGGGAATGACTTCTCTCGTAATTTACTACTATTATATTTCTCTATGGCCTTAACAATATCATGTATGCAGGTTCCAGATTACAAGCAGAACTGTCAAATATACTGCTACGTTGGAGGTCAGATAAAATAATGATAAAAGTTGACATTGAAATAATTTCCAGGCAGATAAAGATTCACGTTAATGACATGAAGTATCAGAAAATTTTATGCAGATTTGATAATAACACACCAATTAATGAATATTGCTTAACGACTGTAACCTATGGGACGACAGCTATAAAAACATTACAAAAGATTCCACTCGAAACTTGAAATACTGTTCAGAAATACTTTCCCATTAGTGTGTTTAAATGAAATGTCATTTGAAGACGTTTACAAATTTCTGTTCAATTCCAAATTTAAACCACTTTTCAGTGAAATGAAGTTATGTTCATAACAATAATAGATTGGAGTATGGGTCGAAGCATTTTTAGTTGCAAAACACGCAGTCTAAATAGTAAAATTATTATCAATTTTGTTGACAACAGTATTTTGCTCACGGATTTAAATTTAAATGAAAAAGGAATAAACACATAGAGTAGCACACTAACAATAAATTTCCAAAATTTCGGATCATAAAGTGCTGGAATAAATGCAAAGAACAGAATTGCCGAAAATTTATTATGTTTTTATTCCAAAATTAATCAAAATCTGCCAAGCAAGGAGGTGATTGCTGTCATTTTCAGCAGAGACTCAAAACAAACGTGTGTTCAGAACTTCTCTTAAAGATGTTGCTGAGTTTGGGAAGCATAGTCACTTCTCTCAAACGCCAGTAAAAACTGTTTCACCTAGTTAATAATGTGAAATACGGTATCCGCCAAAATAAACAGTACCGAAATATAGAGCTCTGAAAAATTGCGTACGCAAGATGCATTTATCATATTTTGCTTACTTGGCATTAGTTATAAGGTTGACATTTAGTTAAGGTTAAAATCTTTGCCATTATGTATCTTTCAATTTAAGAAACAGCGTTCTTAGTAAAGCACCATTTTCTCGATTCTGCCTATGCCATCCGTAATGTGTGGGACTTACCTCTTTTAATTCCAAGGTCTGGTTTAACCAAAAACTCGGTAATATTTGAATCAATAATGGAATTCCGAAAAATGACTATTCCTATTACTATTACTATCTAGTTGATATAGGCTAAGGTGAGGCCTGAGAGTGAAACCAATATATGAGTTTTTGTTTTGATTTAAGCACTATGGAAATTGACTATCAAGCTTTGTCTTGAATAATAAATTGTTTAAGCTGGGAGTTGATTCCAGAGGACATTGTTATGTTATGTTATATGATTGATGGGATGATGAATACCAGTAATTTGTTACTTTTGTACTTTCATCAACTTTGTCATAATAAATGTATAATTTTAGTTAACAGTAATAAATAAAAGTTGCTCAACAAGAAAAAGGGTTTACTGTATTCCCTATCTACTTCCATAATCGTTAAGTTAAATAACTGTAATAGGTTATGGGCGCAGATCATGAGAAGATTGGATTGTAAAAAGTAAGAAAAATGGCTAGTGCAGTGTTAAATTTTCTCCAGCTGACTAATGCAACAAATTTCAACAATTGGAAGTTTAGAATTATCACATTACTGGAAGAGAGGCAAATAGCACAAGTATTGGTAAAAACCGAGGCTGATTACAGTACCGAGAAGGAGAAGTCAGAATTCAAAGTTAATGATGCAAGTGAAAAACGCATAATAGTCCAGTGTTTAACTGCAGCCGTATTCTTAAATTTCTGGGAAGAGAACTTGCTCGGGAAGTGGACTTGGTTCACCTCAAAAAGGTACATGTCATATTCTTGAAAATGGATCTATGAAGTAAAAATTCCCAGGAATTCTGAAGTTCCCATCCTATTACCCAAGAGAAAACGAATTCCCGCCAAGATTTCTAACCTCAAGACTTGACGTTGTTTTCAAGCTTGGTGTTGTTTTTTCGTTTCAAATTCAAGGTTTTATGTGGATAATGAGATTATCTTGAATAACATAACATAATCCAAGAAAACATGAAAAATGCTGCAGAAGCAAAAGAAATCTCCCGTATGTTATTACCACTCCAACGCGAGTCTCGGCTTTAACCAAAACTACAAAGGTAGTAATTGTAACGAACTTACTTAATTTTCCGGGTATTTTAATGATTGCTACCGCGGTTCTTAATTAATTACTTCGACCGGATTAATTCTACATGATAATTTATTTAAATAAAACCCGTGACCTTGTTTGAAACCGTACGATCCAATAGAACCGAACACCGAACGCTTCACGTATTCGTCCCGCTTCGCAGTGTCTCGGAGTTTCCACCTTTGATGACCGACGACCGATTATAAAAGGAGGCGCACGGCCACAAGGAGAGATTCTTATTTTTTTGTTTCAGGTACCAGCAGCCCAAGATACGTCATGCACCCCGAACCGATCGCCTAAAAAGAGTCAAATCACAAGCACTGACGGCTGAAGGAGCTGGATTCTCCAAGAGTGGACCTGCAAAGCTTTTCACTCCTGCGTACCGTTACCTTTCCGCGTAACCGTACGGTATAAGCTTTCGCGTCTACCACCGCATAACCTTAAAAGCACGCTAGTATTCGTTTACACACTCGCTCTCTCTCTTCCTCTCTTCGTCATTACCGTCAGTTCATTAATTAGTATCTTTCATTATTTTCATTACATATTGCATCTATTATTTTTCGACCTAATAAACTTAATTTGTTAGTTACATGTCTGTGTTTCATTATGGGGAAATGCGCATATTGACCTCTGGTTTTCCGTCTCCACTGTTTAAAAGCTACCTAGTGCACGTGGGCCCTTAACCACTTTAATCCTAAGGGTGGCGCCCGAGTTTTCCGAAAATTCCGAAATCAACCGCTTTCTTACCGGAAAACCAAAGTAGCACTACAGTATGCATTGAACACGGTATTCCAGAAGTTGATGAGCCACACGAAATTCAGGAACAGGAATACGGAATTTATACTGCAGAAAATTATGCGGAAATTTCCCTCATGCAATTATCGAAAACTTATAGCGATGATGTTCATAGGGTAGTTAAAAATAAATATATTATTAAACACAAATGCTTTTCAGCTTTCAAATTTTGAAAAAAAAGATAAGTAATAATATACATCAAACGTGGGGTTAGATTACTTTCTCTTCGTTTTTTTTTTGCTTGAAAACACGTTTTGGTTAATTCGATTGACACTCGCATAGGCAGCAACATTGCGAGCGCTTGTAGGTATTCAAGAATACGACCTTTTAGCTCCCGGGAACACTTCCTTCCCGGGCAGTCAAGAATAGGGGGCCTGATAAACACTTATACCTGCTTAAGAATGCAAAGATGGCAAAAGAAATGGAAGACGTATTTGAAAGAAAAAGTGTATTCAGAAAGTTAACTTTGAAGCGTAAATTACTTACTTCAAAGATCAAGAGAGATGAAAAATTAGAATATCACTTTTCGATATTCGACACCCTGCAGGTTCCAAACTGGATGAAGAAAACAAAATTCACCATTTATTGTTGTCTTTAGATAAAGAATATGAATCAATCATAACAGTCATAGAAACTATGAATACAAGCATCAAAATGGATTTTGTTAAATCAAGATTATTAGATAAGGAGATGAAACTTGAAAGTAAACAATCAAAACCTTACAATCGAAGGGGAAATTTTCAAGTTTTCAATTCCTAACATCAGTCACATCAAAATAGTCAAGATGAATACCATGGATTAAGACAAAATAGTGGAAAACACAGGCGAATAAAGTAAATGGAATAACACTCATTGCCTTCAGGGCTTTTTTTTATCTTCTTTAGGATGTCTTGGGTCGTGATTTGAATAGTTATGATTTTATTTGGTACCCTGTATTAAAGCTATTCCAGTTGTCTTATATGCTTTTAGTCTTTGATTGAGAAACATGGTTCGGACGATTGTCTTGTTTATTTGTTCCTTGCTTCTTATTGGTACCTCAGGTCTCTTTATGTAGTTGATATCGATTTCTTAAATTGACTTACCAGCACCCATAACTGGTTAAAATATAGATACATACTTTTAAACCATGAATATACAAATTACCCGTAAAAGAAAACCATTGAAATTCAACCTTATCAATTTCTGTACACTATAAACAAATATCTAAAGCAAATATGTACGCCATTTTCTGTCACAACAAAATTTGGAAAATTACATTCGTGGTGGCTAAAATGTGATCTGGTCGAGTACGAAATCACACTCTGTCTAGGAGTAACCAAACTCCCGTGCATCCAAGGCGGTCCCAAACTTATTTGCCTCGAAACTGGACCTCTCGGAGGTTCACTCACAGCTTCAGCATAAGGCGGAGCCTCGTCGTACGGCGGAGGCGAAAACACCGGGAAACTTTCGTCGGGAGAGGCAGGACGCGGATTGAGCTCGGAATTGGGAGGCGACGAAAAGGAAATTCTTTGAGGCTCTAAATAAGCTTCCAAAGAAACTGTCATTACGGCTGAATAAGGGGAAGGAGGGGCTTGGTGTAATGTGGAAGATCGAGGGGTTAAAGGGGCGATGTCTTCGTCTTCTTCTTCAATAGGGGTGTGGTAACCTGTTGGGTTGGTACCTTGGGAAGTGCAAGACGAGGCCGAAGAAGTACGAGCCAATGGGGGTTTGGCTATATTGTGATTTAAGACAGATTAAAAACATTAAATATTTATTAATTATTATTGTGCCACCTTAATAATGGGTTTAGTTGAAATACTAGCACCAAGTTAAAAAGTAGAATATTTAGATATTGTATTAAGAGTTGCTTTGCAAGTCCTAATACAATAACCGTGATGAATTTAAAACCTCAGCATCAAATCAATATCACCTTGAATCTTTTGCTGGTTGGCCTTGATCCGGTCCATTTTGATTTTGATTTTTTCCAAAATGTGACGCTCGTCTTCCACTTGTTCGTCCATCCTTTTCGATCGCATTTCCTCGATCAGTTCAGCACCTAAAATGAATGAAAATTGTTGTTTTTGAAGTAAAATTTCCACAGACCAATAGGTGGAGAGAACTTTTGTTAAGATAACAGAAAAAACTTTGGCAGTTTTATTGTGAGTAGAAGTTTAAATTCAAATATGTGCACATACCTCGAGAAGCCAAAATAGTCGTTGCTTTAGTATCGTTAATCATATGGAAAAAGTTGTAACTTTGGAACAGTCGCTTTTGCATTATCAACAATCCGAAACATACACCATCCCAAAACAATCCCAAATATTCCCGCGGTACTTTACATTGGCCGTTAACAGGTAACTGAGCCAGATCTTCGACATTGCCAAACTTTCTGACACAACCTATACCAAACAACATCAGCCAATGACATTCTCCGGTGTAGGCGTGCACAAATACGCAACCAATCAATTGGAAGCAGGCTTTAATCAGGATTACTGTGACGTTGTAGCCCAATAGCCAATTCCACCTAAAAATAATTGATAGATTAAAATTAGTTGAGATAAAAAAGTTACCTTACTTCTTAATTATTTCCTTAATGGGTCTCAAATACATATCAGAACCTTCCCATAAGAACAAAAATGTCCCAATAAGATAACCAACCGAAAACAGATTGGTACGATTGGTGCCAGCCAAAAACACTGCAGCCAACGTCAAGTAGAACAAACTGCACATAATACACCTTTTAGCAATATCCAAATAAGACCTAAAATCAAATTTCAATTATAATTGGTCAAAATTTTACATCAACACACTCACCTGCAATAAGTAATAAAATCTGGAACTGGATTCTCGAAGTTTTTATCTTCAGCTAAATGTATAACGCTTTCATTACTGCCACCTGCGTAATTCTGGCCGCCATACCGCCTCTCTATTCTAAATACAACCCATTGACGAGTCAAAAAAAATAACAGCAAAAAGTCCCAAATCAAACGTTTCGGATTTGGCGGGTATTTGTCGTTCATCAGGTAGGCCCATTCTTGGAGACGAATAAAGATTGGATCTTTGTTCCATGGATAATCTAATAATAATTGATTTATTATTGTAAAAAGTTACACACTAAACTCCTTACCTATACAAAGTGTAGGTGGTAATCCTACAGCCATGAAATATTGGACAGGCAACAAGATGGCTGTAAAAAGTACATAAAATATCCACACTCTGGACAAAGTACTGCGTTTTAACGAATACAGTATGACCAACCAAAGACTATAGAAAACCGCGTATAAGTCCATTCTTATAGCTATGACAGCCACTGTTGCCATAAAACTTATCTAAAATAAATAAAATTCATTAGAAATTCAAATTATCCTAAACTCTTCTTACCTCAACTCCAAACTTAAAATAAGCATAATTCGCCAAATACTTAAGCATGTTGGTCAAATTTTTGTCGGCATCAGCCCTAGTGATTCTAGGAAACATGAAAAATGCCCTCGTTGTCGGTTTTCCTCTGGCTATTTTGTAGTAGTACTGTCGTACCAAAATAACTGAATACAGAGTAACTATTAAGATGTAAATTATGTTCCATTTTACCAGGCTGGGTACGGAACGATCCACTTGGTCAGATTTGTCGAAACCGAGCCAGTGCATGTTGTTGGCTATACGTTCCGTGTGGTTCATTGTTTCATTTTCCTAAAATATACGAAACAAAATCAACATTGTGGCAACTCTACACGAATTTTAGTTTGTAAATTCGAAGCATTTGACAACATTGCACAAAGAATAACCCTAAAGAAAACTTTTTTTGTAAGTTTGAAACATGTGACAACACTGCAAGTATGAATGCTACAAGCTATAAAACAATGTTGCCACACTCAATTCCAGGATCTCATATTTAGGTATTTAAGCTAAATGTATAGGACAACTTTTACGCCAAAGTCCAAGAAAAACTTTACAATAAACACAACAATTAACGTTTCTTTTTGGAAATTCAACATTATGTGGCAACACTGCACATATACTACAAACTCCTATAGCAGTGTTGCCACCTACTTTACTCCTTTATGACAACTAGCAAGAAAATTAATTTGGATTGAATTTTTTGGCAAATTTGAAGCATCTGGCAACACCGCAAGATTTTTGAAAATCCATAGAAAGCAGTGTTACCACATATTTTATCATTCCTCCCCAAAAGAATAAGTTACAGATATACAAGAAATACATGATGATATAACTGATAGCGAATTCCATTGGAAGGATTAGTACACACTGAGTGTATTTTTTGTCTTTTTCTACCAACTTGTATAAGAAAGAGATAGAAATACATTTTTCCTGCAATGGTTCTACCAATGAAATTCGCTATAAACCAAGATCTATTTTTTTTTTTGTAAATACGAAACATCTGGCAACTCTGTATAATATGAATGTTACAAACCTATAAAACAATGTTGGCAAATATTACTAAGTCCCTATCAAATTTATTTAATTAACCTTGTTTTTTTTTTTCATTCGAATTCATTTGGAAATTCAACGTAGGTATGTGACAACATCGCACGAATATTACAAACTCCTATAAGAGTGTTGCCAGTTGCTTAAACCTAAAGAAATACTCTCTCCCTAGACAAACTACTGCAAGAAAAATAATTTAGGTTAAATTTTCATGTAAATATAGAACATCTGGCAATAATGCAAGACTGGTACAGACCCTAGAAAACATTGCTGCCACATACTCCAGTATTTCTGTCCAAAAAAAAAGTCACTGATACACAAAAAGTACATAATAAAACTAAACCAAGACAATTTGTGGCAACACTGTATGGTATGAATGAAAACATCTGGTCATAATGCAAGACTGGTACTGAAAAGCATTGTTGCCACATATTTCACTATTTTTTCCCAAAAAAACGTGTCAACGATACACAAGAAAATCATAATAATAAAACTAAACCAAATGTTTTTTTTTAATTTTTTTTGTAAATTTAAAGCATGTGACAACACTGTATGGTATGATAATACAAAATTTTAAAACAATTTGGTTAAATCTTCCCTAATCTATCTATCTATTTTAATAATTAAAATTTTTATTTGAAAATTCAACGTATGTGGCAACATCGCACGAATACTACAAACTCCTATAGCAGTGTTGCCAGTTGCCTAAACCTCTTCCTATACAAACTGCAAGAAAATTAATTTAAGTTGAATTTTTATGTAAATTCAAAACATCTGGTCATAATGCAAGACTGGTACTGAAAAGCACTGTTGCCACGTATTTCACTATTTTTTCCCAACAGAACAAGTCACCGATTTACAAGAAAATCATAATAATGAAACTAAATCAAAAATTTTTGTTGTTTTTTCTAAATTTAAAGCATGTGGCAACACTGTATGGTATGATGATACAAAATTTTAAAACAATTTTGTAAAATCTTCCTAAATCTATCTATCTATTTTAATAATTGAAGTTTTCATTTGAACATTCAACATATGTGGCAACATTGCACGAATACTACAAACTCATATGTATAGCAGTGTTGCCAGTTGCTTAAACTTTTTCCTATACAAACTACAAAAAAACTAATTTGGATTGTATTTTTGTGTAAATTTAAAACATCTGGCAATAGTGCAAGACTGGTACAGACCCTAAAATGCATTGTTGCCACATGTTTCAATATTTTTTCCCAAAAGAACAAGTCACTGATACACAAGAAAATCATGATAATAAAATTAAACCAAAAAATTTTTTTTTGTTTTTTGTAAATTTAAAGCATGTGGCAACACTGTATGGTATGTATAATATTGAAAAATTATACAACAATTTGGTTATTATGTTCCTAAATTCGTACCAAATCTATTTATTTTAATAATTGAAATTTTCATTTGAAAATTCAACGTATGTGGCAACATCGCACGAATACTACAAACTCATATGTATAGCCGTGGTGCCAATTGCCTAAACCTCTTCCTATAGAAACTGCAAGAAAACTAATTTGGGTTGCATTTGTGTGTAAATTGGAAACATCTGGCAATAATGCAAGACTGATACAAACCCTAGAATGCATTGTTGCCACATATTTCACTATTTTCTCCCAAAAGAAGAAGTCACCAATACACAAGGAAATCATAATAATGAAACTAAATAAAAAAATTTTTTTTTGTTTTTTCTAAATTTAAAGCATGTGGCAACACTGTATGGTATAATAATAAAAAGTTATACAACAATTTGGTCGTATTTTCCCAAATTCGTACCAAATCTATCTATTTTAATAATTGAAATTTTCACAAAAGGCAATAATGCCAGATTGGTACAAACCCTAAAATGCATTGTTGCCACATATTTTCACTATTTTTTCCCAGAAGAACGAGTCACAGTGATACACAAAGAAATTCATAATAATGAAACTTAACCAAAATATTTTTTTTAGTTTTTTGTAAATTTAGAGCATGTGGCAACACTGTATGGTATGCATGATAATACAAAGTTATAAAACAATTTGGTCAAATCTTCCCAAATCTATCTATCTATTTTGATATTTAACGTTTTTATTTGAAAATTCAATGAATTAGGCAACATCGCACAACTAGGTACTACAAACTCATATGTATAGCAGTGTTGCCAATTGCCTAAATCTCTTCCTATACAAACTGCAAGAAAACTAATTTGGGTTGAATTTTTGTGTAAATTGAAAACATCTGGCAATAATGCAAGACTGGTGGTACAAACCGTAAAAAGCATTGTTGCCACATATTTCACTATTTTTTCCCAAAAGAACAAGTCATCTATACACAAGAAAATCATGATAATAAAACTAAACCAAATTTTTTTTTGTTTTTAGTAAATTTAAAGCAGGTGGCAACACTGTATGGTATGATAATACAAAGTATTATAAAACAATTTTGTCAAATCTTTTCAAATCTATTTTAATAATTGAAGTTTTTATTTGAAAATTCAACGTATGTGGCAACATCGCACAAATACTGAAAACTTCTATAGCATTGTTGCCAGTTGCGTAAACCTCTCCCTATACAAATTGCAACAAAACTAATTTGGCTAAAATTTTTGTGTAAATTTAAAACATCAGGCAATAATGCAAGACTAGACAGAATAAGTCACCGATACACAAGGAAATCATAATAATAAAACTAAACCAAAATATATTTTTTTGAATTTTTTTTGTAAATTTAAAGCATGTGGCAACATTGTATGGTATGATAATACAAAGTTATAAAACAGTTTGGTCAAATCTTCCCAAATCTATCTATTTAAATAATTGAAATTTTCATTTGAAAATTCAACATATGTGACAACATCGCACGAATACTACAAACTTCTATAGCAGTGTGTTGCCAGTTGCCTAAACCTCTTCCTATACAAACTACAAAATGACTAATTTGGGTTAGTTTGGGTTAGCTTCCTATACAAGACTGGTACAGACCCTAAAAAGCATTGTTGTCACATATATCACTATTTTTTCCCAAAAAAACAAGCCAACGAACGATACACAAGAAAATTATAATAATGAAACTAAACCAAAATATTTTGTAAATTTAAAACAGCTGGCAACGCTGTATGGTATAATAATACAAAGTTATGTAATAATTCGGTCAAATCTTCCTGAATCTATCCTTTTTTAATTATTGAAATTTTCATTTAAAAATTCAACGTGTGACAACATCGCAAAAATAATACAAACTCCTATGGCTGTATTGCCAGTTGCCTAAACCTCTTCTTATACAAACTACAAGAAAACTAATTTGAGTTGGATTTTTATGTAAATTTGATAATAATGCAGGGCTCAGATCTTAAAATGCATTGTTGCCACATATTTCACTATTTTTTCCTAAAAGAATAAGTCTCCGATACACAAAGAAATCATAATAACAAAACTAAACCAAATTTTTTTTTTGTTAATTTATAGCACGTGGCAACACTGTATGGTATGATAATACAAAGTTGTAAAACAATTTGGTCAAATCTTCCCAAATCAATCTAACTATTTTAATAACTGACGTTTTCATTGGAAAATTCAACGTATGTGGCAACATCGCACGAATACTACAAACTCCTCGAGCAGTGTTGCCAGTTACCTAAACCCCTTCGCATACAAACTGCAAAAAAAACTAATTTGGGTTGCATTTTTGTGTAAATTGAAAACATCTGGCAATAATGCAAGACTGGTACAAACCCTAAAATGCATTGTTGCCACACATTTCCCTATTTTTTCCCAAAAACATGTCAACGATACACAAGAGAATCATAATAATAAAACTAAACCAACATTTTTTTTGTAAACTTAAAACATGTGGCAACACTGTATGGTATTATACTACAAAGTTATAAAACAATTTGGTTAAATCTTTCCAAATCTATCTATCAGTTTTGATAATTAAAGTTTTCATTTGAAAATTCAACATATGTGGCAACATTGCACGACTACTACAAACTCCTATAGCAGTGTTGCCAGTTGCCTAAACCTCTTCCTATACAAACTGCAAGAAAATTAGTTTAAGTTGAATTTTTGTGTAAATTCAAAACATCTGGTCATAATGCAAGACTGGTACTGAAAAGCACTGTTGCCACATATTTCACTATTTTTTCCCAACAGAACAAGTCACCGATATACAGGAAATCATAATAATGAAACTATATCAAAAATTTTTTTTTTTGTTTTTTCTAAATTTAAAGCATGCGGCAACACTGTATGGTATGATAATACAAAGTTATAAAACAATTTGATTAAATCTTCCCAACTCTATCGACTTATGTTAATAATTGAAGTTTTTATTTAAAAATTCGAAGTCTGTGGCAACATCGCACGAATACTACAAACTCATATGTATAGCAGTGTTGTCAGTTGCCTAAACCTCTTCCTATACAAATTGCAAGAAAACTAATTTGGGTTGAGTTTTTGTGTAAATTGAAAACATCTGGCAATAATGCAAGACTGGTACAGACCCCAAAATGCATTGTTGGCACATATTCACTATTTCTCTCCAAAAGAACCAGTCCCAATATACAATAAGAAGTATGTCATAGTATTATGTATTTATATTTTTTTTTTGTAAATTTAAAGCATGTGGCAACACTGTATGATAATATAAAAGAATGTGACTAAATTTTCGAGCAGTGTTGCCACATACCTACTCTACTAGTTGACTTAAATCTAAAGAAATATTCTCTTCTTCCAAGAAAACTAATTTGGGTTGGATTTTTTTGCGAATTCAAAGCATTTGGCAACGACGCAAAACTAGTACAGACCCCAAATAGCTGTATTGCCACATTGTAGAACAATGTAGCCAAAACTTCCCAAATCCCTATCAAATCCGTTTATCTTACTTTGATCCAATTAAATCACTATCTAAATTGAGGGTTTCCATTCGGAAATTCAACATATGTGGCAACACTGCTCAACACTACAAACTCCTATAACAATCTTGTCATATACTGTACTAGTTGTCCTAAACCTAGAGAAATACTCTCTTCCTGTATAAGTAACAAGAAAATTATCTAGTTCGAGTTTGATTTTCAAAGCATCTGGCAACAGCGCAATTTAAAAAATAACATGGCAATACTGTATGAATCCTATAAACTTATGGAACAATGTAACCAAATCTCTTCAAATCCCTATCCAATCTAATTAAGGTTTTCATATGGAAATTTAATCTATGTATTTGGCAACATCGCACGGATACTACAAACTTCTATAACAGTGTTGCCAAATTTCACTAATTGCCTTGTCCAAATTTAGAAAAATACTCTCTCTCCACAAACAAGTAGCAAGAAAACTAATTTGAGTTGGATATTTTAGCAGCATCTGGCAGCAACGCAAGACTATTACAGACCACAAAAAGCTGTGTTGCCACATATTTTATTATTTTTCCTCAAAAGAAGTCAAATACACAAGAAGTAAGTATGTGGCAAATCCCTATCAAATCTTTTTAATTTTACCATCTTATTTAGGGTTTTCTTTGGATTATCATTTGGAAATTCAGCGTATGTGACAACATCACACGAATAACACAAATTCCTATAGCAGTGTTGCCACATAGGTACTTTACTAGTTAGCCTGAACCTAGGCCAATTATCCACTGGGCAATTGAATTATAGATCAATAAATTTATCTTGCAGATATGTAATTATCATAGCATAGCAAGGTTATCTCAAGGTGAGTAAACCAGGAAAAAAATGTCTATATTCAATTATTGGAAAATATACAGGGTGTTCCATTCAAAAAAATACAAGTTGGGTCTACCACATATTTTGCGTGCACCTTGTATATTATATAAAAATTATATTTTTAGCGGTTCTCGTAAATCCTCATTTGCTATTTTTATTATCTTGCTATAAGCTGTCAAAATATATGGAACAACCCTGTATTCGATTGAAAAAAAAACTTGTGGTCGTAGCTTGTACGGTAAAGGAGGCGAACATGTGTCAGATTTGACAAGTGGCATCTGTCAATATCAATGTCGAGCGAAAAATATTCCTTGAAATTTGACATTTAAAAAAAAAAAAAACATTGTTAGGCCGTCATTTTTTGACATATGTCTTTGTCAAATTTTTTTTAAGGGTTTTTGGGGGTCGGGGGATCGTTTTTTGATCATCGTATTTTTTTTTCCGAAAATTGGAAATAAACTTTTTTGATGTTGACAACTATCGAAATTTTTTTGACATTGACAGGTAGCTCACGACGAATAATCGCTATGTACACAAATAAAAAACCAGGATTTTGGTAAATTTAAAGCATGTGGCAACATTGTATGAACACCACAAACTTATAAGTAAAATTATTAGGTTGTTTGGTAATGGGAAACAGAGGACGTCATCTACGGTGCCTAATGGAAATTTGAATTATGTTTATGCATTCCAGATGACGTCAGTAAGCAACCTACCTCTTTGAAATAACCTTAGAAGCCCCCAAAACAGAAAGACGCCATTTTGTATCGGTTGTCAAAAATTACAAGGCCTACTTTGAAACGTCAAGTTTTTTGACGTTTGCGTCAGGGTTGCTACATTTTTAATTTTTTTTTATTGAAATGTAGTGCACTTGTGAATTATTATTAAATTGAATGGAAATTATTGACAATTCAATGTAATTTTGGCATATAAATGGAGCCCCACAACCGAAAAAGCAAAAAGACGCCATTTTGGATTGACTGTCAAAAATTACAAGGCCTACTTTGGAACGTCAAATTTTTTGACGTTTACGCCAGGGTTGCTGCATTTTTAACTGTTTTTTTCCAAAAATTCAGTGCACTTATGAATTATTATCAAATTAAATGGAAATTATTTCCTCAGTTTAGCCGAAACACGGGGCCCCCAAACCAAAAAAAGGGGCCCCTCTCAAGGTTGTTTGAAAAAGGTAGATTGCTTGATAATTTTCATGACGTCATCTGGGATGCCTAAACGTAATGCAAATCCAAGGTTCCTAAAGTCTCAATAGGTTGTCTTGTAATGGGTAACTTGATGACGCATCTGGGGTGCCTTATGTAGATTTGCATTACGTTTAGGCATACAGATGATGTCATGAAAGTTAGCAGGCAACCTTCCTCTTTTAAACGACCTTGATGCAAATCTCCATTAGGTCTTTTTGATGACGTCATCTGTTTATCATAACCAGACAACTTATCAACTTCAGGAGCCTTGGGATAAAACTCCTAGAGGTAATAGGTTGTCTGGTCATGGGAAACACATGACGTCATCTACGGTGCCTTATGAAGATTCGCATTATGATGAGGCATTCCAGTTGACGTCATAAAAGTTATCAGGCAACTTACCTCTCTCAAACAACCTTGTCTTAGAGGTTCCCAAAACAAAAAGACGTCAGTTTGAATTAACTGTCAAAAATTACAAGGCCTACTTTGAAACATCAAAATTTTTCGTAGTTTGTGCCAGAGTTGCTGCATTCTTAATTGTTTTTTTTTTTTTTAAATCTAGTGCACTTATGAATCATTATCAAATTACATGGAAATTATTTCCTGAATTTAGTCGAAAAATGGGGCTCCCCAAATCAAAAAACGGGGCACCCTCAAGGTTGTTTGAAAGAGGTAGGTTGCTCGACAGTTTTCATGACGTCATCTGGGATGCCTAAATATAATGCACATCCAAGGTTCCTCAAGTTAATAGGTTGTCTGGTAATAGGTAACTTGATGATTCATCTGGGGTGCCTTATGTAGATTTGCATTACGTTTAGGCATACAGATGACGTCATGAAAGTTATCAGGCAACCTCCCTCTTTTAAACAACCTTGATGCAAATCTCCATTAGGTCTTTTTGATGATGTCATCTGCTTATCATCACCAGACAATTTATTAACTTTAGGAGCCTTAGGGCAAAATTCCTAGGGTTAATAGGTTGTCTGGTAATGGGAAAAAGATGACGTCATTTAGGCTGCCTTATGAAGATTTGCATTGTGTTGAGGCATTCCAGATGACGTCATCAAAGTTATCAGGCAATCCTACCTTTCTCAAACAACCTTGCCTTGGGGATTTTCAAAAAAAAAAGATGTCATTTTGAATTACCTGTCAAAAATTGCAAGGCCTACTTCGAAACGTCAAATTTTTTTGACGTTTGTGTCATGATTGCTACATTTTTATTTATTTTTTTCAAAACCCAGCGCATTTTTGAATCAGATTGAAAATATATTAAGAATTAAGCAAAAAGGGGACCCCGAAAGGTTAAAAATACGTCATCTTGGGGGTAAATCCCAAAGAAAACAAGGCCTACTTTGAAACGTCAATTTTGTTATGTAATAACCAGTGTTGCCATCGTTATTAAAAAAACCCTCGCCTTGCAGGCTTGTGATTTGTGGCAACAATGTACGAATTACACAAACTGTTAACACACTGTTGCCACATATCGTATGAATAAAAACCAACTTACCGCCACACAAGTAACATTCCAAATGTCCGGATTAATGTACTTGATCTGATACAGCATCCTGGCCAATAGAAACAGCGAGACCAGAATCGAACTGGAATAAATCGTGAATATTTGCACGGGCCTGCCCAATGTGAACGAGGCCGGAATCAGAAGAACCAAAATAAAGTACAAGGCGCACGTGTCGTAAACACACAGTAGCATGGCGAAAAATAAAACCACTCTTGGCATGTGGATTTCTAGGAACAAATAGAGCAAGTTTAGGAATTTGTGTAGGCGAGTTATCCACTTTTCCATTACAGCTTTGAATGTCAAGTCTGGAAAAGAATAATTATTGTAGAGTTAGTCTGAACACTAAAACCAAAAATTCTTACTGTCAAAATCGCTCAATTCGAATTTATAAGTCGATGAAGTAGGGTCATCTTTTTCACTTCTATCTATGACTCCGCCCCCTTGCAACGAACTTTGATTTAAATCCTCATCCTCCTCGTCTTCATTTATCAGGCTCGTATTTTTAGGGTCAGATAATACCATAAAGTCGTTGTGGAAATAGTGAAGTTGCACCACAGTGATTATAACGAAAAATGTAGGAGTTACTAGACGGACAAAGAGTTGTTTGGTTTCGAATTTTTCCAGGCCTATATCCAATTGTCTGAAAATGAAATTAGTAATAATTGGGTGCAATATAGTGGTTTAAAAGTCCTTACTGTTCTTGTGCCACATGAAGATACTCTGTCCAATATTCGGGAAAATTATCAAATTGGTAGGTGTAAGTCAATACAAGTACCAACATGGAAAATATGATGACAACCAACCAAAAACCAAACATCATTTTTCTCCAAATGGTAAACGACAACTGAAACAATAATCACTTGTACTGTTATTAACTTATAATGGAAATTGTTCTTACCTGGAAGGACAGTATAAATATTAAAAACAAGGCCATATAAACTATCCTAAAACCTGTCATTCTTTGACCAGTTATGGCAACAGCGAATAAGGTAACTGCCACAACCCAAATCCAAAACTTGGTTAAAAACTTCTTCAAATACCCTCCAACTACATCCATGATTTTGGTTTCCTTTTTTTTGACTTCGTTGTTGGTACCTTGCCACAAAAACCAATCAAATAATTGCATTTTTACATTGAAAAATCACTTACCTGTAGTAGCAGCTCCAACAGTAAGTTGTAAGGGCGCCACCATATCAGCCAACGCACTAGTTTGCCTTTCAATGAGCCTCTCTTGCATATATTGCCTTAAAGTAACCCAAAACATACACGTATATAAACATTTAACCAGTAAAGGATTACAGGGTAAAGTTGTAACTTTAACAAAACCGATTTGGGCTAAGTTGATGCCCTTTATAAACGAAGGCAGTTCGGTTTCAGTTAAGTTCATCGAGTAAATGTAGGCGGATATTAGTAGGAACCAGGCATAGAAAACTAAAAACGGACTGGAGCGTAGCATGCTTTTTCTTTGGTTCGGTACCAGCCAGATAACGTTGGCCCAAATTAGTAAAACAAAAGTTATCCAGCTTATGTATGTTATACTCCAGGCCTAAAACAATTTTCATTTATCAAAGGAGAATAAATGTAATATAACAACTTACCATCATAATGATATTGGTACCCAAATAGGACACCCTAATGATGATTTGTAAAAGATTTTCCAAAAAGTAGACCAAGTTTTCGATTAAAGTGGGCTGATAATCACCTTCTGGATTACCTTACGAGAAATTACATTTAGCAAAATGATTACTGAGTAATTTAATTTTTGTCTCACCCATTTCGTCCATAGGTATTTCTTCAGGATGTTCTCCGTCTACGGTGACACTTCCTGTAGAATCTTGCATTATGGCGCTCCGTTTACTGGAACCGTATCTTCGATTTGGACTTACGCCTTTTATGAGCTAATGAAAATAGAGATTTATATTGTATTTGTATTTCAAACACTATATAGGAAAGTATATTTACCAACTAAACTACCAAATCCGAAGCAGACTTTACAAATTAGAATGACAAAACCACCAATGAAAAAATAGAAAAAACAAGCCAAGTAAAGCAAAAACAAAATAAAATATAAATACATACGGGGGTGTTTTCCATAGCTTGGGATTCTTCGGATATTCTTCGATAAGGTTCCTGCAAAACAAACCAGCAACGGCAATCGAAATAAAAAAATTGTAATGAGGCAAATTAAATCAATAATAATTATTGTTTAGTGCATTTATATACAAGTAGAAGGTTCTTGAATTAGCAGTTTGAGGTACCATGTTATTGTACTATTTAGTAAATTTTAGTGAGAAATAAAATCATAACAATGACATGATCTAATAATATAGTTAGTGGAAAAAGCTACAAGTAAAAGTATCACAAAAATACAATTTCAGCTGGGGAGAGTGGGGTCATATCTTGTGGAACCGATGACAACCAGCAGGTCTAGAGTTTATCACTCCTTCTATTTGAGTTAGAACCGTGCTAATATCCTCGAAAGTAAGGCTAGCGTCACTCAAAACACGTTTAAGATGATATTTGATACTTTTCATGCCAGCCTACCACAAACCTCCAAAGTTTGGAGCATGAAAGGCCATGAAAATGACCTTATCAAAGCTAGAATGGAAAAAATTGCGGATAATGTAGTTAACACCTACAAAAGTAATTCTATTATCAGAATAGATATGTAGGGGCCTGCCTCTTCTCGCAACAAATCTGTTAAGAACCGCAAGAGAGGCTTGACTGGTCAAGTCACTGACAACTTTTAAGTGAACGGACTTCGTGTTCATAGACACAATAATACAACTATAACCCTTTAGAATCTTAGAATTTCTGCATTTTCTATCTCTAATAGACAGAAGACCCACATAATCAACTTCAGTATTTGTAATAACTGCTTGATAACCAGAGTACTCGGGCAAATTACCCATCAAATAATTAACTGAAGTTGGATTAGACATTAGACTTAAAACAATTGATGCAACCCTTGATTATGGTTCTATTTTACGCCCTGATATAGGCCAAAATTTCTCGTGAGTTGCAAGTTGCATATAGAAGTTGCTGAGGATCATAATGCAAACGCTTACATGTATGTGATTTATAATCAGTGTACTTAAATAATGCTTATTATGTAGTAAAGCAGGATTTTTCTGCTCATCGGGCACATCTGCATTTTGAATTCTACCATCGACTCGTATTAAACCTATTTCATTATAATAAGATTTTAAACATAACAAACCATCCGAATTACTTAATGAACGTTTAATATTTAGTAAGTAATAATCCTTTGTGAATGACTAAATTTGAGACATTTTAATTAATTTATTAGAGCATTATTAAGTTCTCTTGGCGTCAGAGGTCCAACCAGTACCTACATTACTATTCTTAAGTCGTTGAATGAACCCTAAACAATATGCCAGAATTTTTTACAACTTTATCACTAATGAATATTTGTTAAATTCAAAGTCAGTTTCTTAAACGCATGTGGAATGACTCCTTCACTTTTTGTTCAGGTAAATCTTGAGGCACCTCCCTTACACAACTATCAAAATTATAGTTAGAAAAAAGCCTGGTAGAGGACTGTTCCACCATAAATTCAAATGAATGAAGCAAGGATTCGGCCTCTAAAAAGACAGTCCGCTGGAATCTCGTCTGACTTAACATGAAACCAGTCACATGGCCTCGACATGTTCTGAACTTGAGTTATCCGATTTGCTACAAAGCTTATTAAATCCACAATATAAACGAATCCGCAGCAAAAACCTCCAAAAATTGGAGGTTTTTGCAAAACTCCAATCATTTATTGTAAAGGTAAGAAGGAAGTGGCTCATCCCAAGCTAAATGTTCTTGCCAAAGAAGCTGCATAAGAAGCTTGACAACAACCACAATTGGCCCTAAAAGACTTAAAGGGTCAAATATCTGACTTGTAACTGATTGAACCATCCTCTTGGAGATTTCGCCTTCAAATTTAAATTTTTTGATCGAATAATGAATGGTATCACTAGAAGCATTCCAAAAAGCGCCTAAAGTTTTATTTTGGTCATTTTCTCCCAAATGTAATAAATATACTTGATGATAAATTATTGTGAAGCTGAAATTGATTTAATAAATCTGGTTTATTAGAAAACCACTTTCTAAGCTAGCCCAAATGAAAGATATTTCTCTCTGAATTTGTAGCAACTTAGTACATCTTTGATATGTCTGCATTAAGAACGTAAATTCTGAAACGTATATAGATACAAGGTCCCTTTGAAAAGTAGGTCCAACATGCTGTAGGTACGTCAGTGTCACTCTTAGCCGACGCATCACAAACCACACGCAACTTTGTGATCAAACTAGATTCCTTAATTAAAGGATGATGTAACACGGTTTGGTATTAATAAAATCAACAGAAAACCTTCACTCTTTGTCATGTTACCCATATCCTTGTATTCCTCAAGAAATTCAACATAATCCTTTCTCAAGCTCTCATTTTTAATTAAACGTCTTTCAAGAACTATTAATTGTTTAATTGCTATATTCTTAGACTGGCCTAAACCCTCAATGTTATCTTTAAAAGGAAATTTTACCACAAATCTCGAGAGTAATTTTTTATAAAATGCTTTTCGTATAACTGTTCAGAATTTGACAAAATAGGTCGTTCATTGGTACATTCATGGAGTTCCCAAAAACGTCTAAGTTTTTCATTAATCGTCTGATCCAATGAAAGACAAGCTGTCACCTGAGTATTTGAGACATTAGAAGAAGAATCAAAATATCCACCAAGAATCCAACCAAATCTTGTTTCCTGAAGCGTAGGTATTCCCCGAGTATGAATTTGTTTCATAAGTAACATCCTATAGAATACATCAACGCCCAATAAAATATCTATATCCTTTTTGGATGTTAAAACACTCGTGGGGAATATTCCAATCGGAAATTTCGAAAGAGACCGTTGGAACACCTTGAGTAATTTTTAATATGCCTAAGGGCCAAATTATGGACTGACTGGTAAACGACTAGTTGTTACCTAGCAGGTACTTCCTATGCACTAGAAAATAGACAGTACCAGCTAGGTAACAACCAGACACTTACCAGTTGGTCCATAATTTGGCCCTAAACAAAAAATGACTTCGTTGTAATCATTAATATTTGACATAATCTTAACATTCACCATTGCACTCGCAGTGGTCAATACATTTTCATCAACGCCAGAAATGTTAAATTACTTGTAAATTGAGAATTTTTTGCAAAATTGAGTCCCATAGAAACTCTCTTTCAATTTACCTCAGCTTTTGAAAATTTTTAAGGTTTATTTCAAAGGGTTTATGGTAGTCGATAAAAATATTTCAAGCGGATTGAAACACTATTTCAAAAGTTAACATTTTTTGCAAAATCTATTATAAATTTTTCACTGCTTCTTTTCAATTTATTCTAGGACCAATGAGAATAATGGGTCAATTCTGTGCACATCTGTAAGCAAGTCTATAAATTTCTATAAGCCTATACAGGGTGTCCGTTTTAAGTGATACCACTATTGCTATCTCGGAAACGGTGAGAAATACGAGGTCGGTTAAATTAGAAAAAAGTTGCCTTTTTTGATGCTGTGATGATTCGCCCTTATTTTCGAGGGCGTGAGGTAGGTCCGTGTCTGCGGAAGGAGTTTAACTCCAATGACACAACTGATTATCTTCAGCCTTACTAGGCTATTTTATTCTACTCAACAGAAGACTCAAAATACTTAATATTACACTCAAAAAGATTTTTAAGGCAAGAGCGAGAATGGAGGCTGACACCCAAAATGGCAACCTCCTCCATCTCCACAGAACATATCACCTCTAGAAAAGTATCTGCAATGTTATGTACCGGTTATGAATTACAGCGCCATCGTTTACTGAAAACCCAACTAATCGAGCATTCTTGACAAAAAGGCGAATTGATTTTTTTCATGTTTTTATTATTTTTAAATAATTTTTAATGTTCAACTGCATTTGGCTTGCTGACTCCTTTGAGCTCTTTTCGCCTCATTTTTTTGAGAACTATGACTGGCAGGAAGTTTCCGATGTTGAACATAGTGCAAAAAGAGTTAGTAAGTTAGCAAGAGACACGCAGCTATAGGTAGATCGCAAAGTAAATACGAATTATAAATACAAATACGAACGAAACGAAACAAACGAGTAAATACAAAAAAATACGAACAAAAATTAGGGTTTTTTTCAACCAAAACTTTTTGAATTTTCACTTTAACGCGCGTGGGGACCATGGTTCATAGTTCACAACAACACAATTTAAAAATTCAAATTTTGACTTTTAAAATGACAAAATAAATGACAAAACCAACACAAATCACTGTCCACACCACAGATACCTGTAAATTTCTCTTATCTCCCGACAGTGTCGCCATCGTTGAATGAAAACCTAACTAAAAACCTTTGTCGCGATTCTCCCATTTGAGATATTTTTCTATAGGTGATATGTTCTGTGATCTCCTCCTGACTGCTGTCAGAGGCAAGGAGGTGTTTCCTCTGTTTCCCTCTCCCGTCATCTGTCATCATGAATGCGTTCGACGCATTTAATCGAGGATGCGTTCGAAACTACCTCATTACCCCCAACTTAAATGCAAAAATACAAATAGGTATTTAAGTTTAAAACTGGAAACCTAAGGTAATAAATATTGACTAAAACTAACACCTTAACTCAAGTGTCTCTTAGATTCACAACACTTCTTAAACTAACTGCACATACATTGTAAAATAATAGGTAACATAATTTATGTTCTATAACCAAAACCAGTATGATTCTTTAAAAAGATCTTTACTAACTAAGAAAAAATTTAACTATATCTAATACATATTGTAGGCATGTATGTTTTCACATACCTACCTCTAGTAAATCTAAAAAACAAGTCCACCAACTAATCGAGAATTGCAGGACTGGT